TATGTATCCGAAGGGTTATTGCGGGGAATAACTAGAGAGAAGTCAGAGCATAAGTAAGAGAGAGAGAGTATATTGCTGAGAAAGTAGTGAGCGTATTTCGCTTGGATCACAAATGGGGAAAAGGGGCGCTATTTATAGTAGTAATAAATGCCAGATAGGGACACATGTCATCAATCTGGTGGTCGAGGGGTCACCTCAACGGGGTGGAGCTGGCATTCGCATGTGGCCGCATTAAATGTGGCTGTTGGATGTGACGTCGTACTTGGTACGGTGATTCAGTCGCATGTGGAGAGGATATTATATCGAGAAAGGTGCCCTCGGCTGCAGGTGATTAGCCGAGGGCTCTGAGTACCGGGGACCTCCTTAGTGCCGAGGGCTACTGATTTTCACCGTTTTCTCCGAGTAACTTTGTTTGCTTGAGTTGGCCATCCTGTGAGAATTGGAGCCTTCGGCCAGGGGGCCGAAGGCACCCCTAGTGTGCCACGTGGGTTGCTTAGTACTTGGGGCGCTGTGATTTGGGCCTGCTGTGCTTCCTGGACCTATTGGGCCTCCCTTAAAATAGTAGGAGTCGATGGGCCGGGGGTTCCTGGGCCATATACTCCCTCAATTCTACTCCCTCCATTCTTTATTATCTGTCCCGCTAGCCTTGGGCAGATGTTTTAATAGAAAAATAGTAGGGTAAATGTAGAGTGTGTAGGGTAAATGACAAAGTAGGAAAGAGAGTATATTAAAAAGAGTAAAGAGGTGATAAAGTGATGATAAAGTAGGAAATAAAGTATACTATATTAAGTAGAGTTAAGTTATGATAAAGTAGGAAAGAGAAAGTAGTTTGTAAAAAGTAAGAAAGGTAAAAGTAATAAAAGTAGGGGTATTTTATCAAAAACTTTCCTAAAATAGAAAGAGATACAAATAATAAAAAACGTCTCAAAAAGGAATGCGAGACAATTAATAAAGAACGGATGAAGTATATATTTGGTTATATACTCCCTCCGTCCTGTTGGAATGTTCCTGGTTTGACCTACACACATATTAAGGAAATAAACTTACCAGGGGGTAAATTTTACTGTTTTGACACTGTTTCGACACTGTTTGACATCGTTTCGACACTGTTTGACACTGTTTTGCATTGTTTGACCCTGTTTTGATGTAGGATAACTTTCCATTTAGGGAAATGAGAACTCTCCAACGGGACATCCAAAAAAGGAAAACGGGAACATTCCAACGGGACATAGGGAGTATTTATGAATGACTTTAGTGTCTCACTAGAGATACCGATATTTCATTTGATCAGATGATTTAGAGGCATCTAATTAATTTCGAGGCTATGATTCCCAACGTATCATCGAGCCACACATTAATTAATATTAAAAATATAAATACAATCTCAATCAAAATACGTATATGAAAAAGATTATAAAAGTTACTTAATACTTAATTTAAAACAATACAACTCATTAATCAAACATTTTTAGAAAAAGAATACTAAAATGACTGATGAAAATAATGATGAATCACCGTTTTTCTTACTCAATGTATTTTACTGATTGGTAGAACTATTTTGTGTGACCTATTTTGATAGACATCATCATTAATAAAGTAGTTGAAAAGAGCAATTTTGTGGTTGATATTTGAGTATAATAAAGTAAAATGTTATAGACCACATGTTTTTTTTTCAAAAACGGATATGTGACACTTATTTTAAAATAATATTAAAAAGAAAAGTAAGAAAAGTAAAATGAGACGGAACGAGTTAAATGTAATACACTTTATTACTATATAACACAAATAGGCCAAGCCAAACAGGAGGGTGGTCCGACCACCTCAATTTCAGGTGGTTTCCGGTGATATTTTTTGATCAAATTGTTTGAGCATGTACCCTATGAAGTGTATATGATCTCCATCATATTTAGGTAAAAAATTCAACCGGGAAGGCAGACAAATTATTTTTGGAAGATAATTACATTTTATATGTATATTTTGATGCAATTATCTTTAAAAAATCACTTGACTGATTTCCCGATTGAATTTTGTGTTGAATTTTGGCAGACATCATCTACACTTCATGATGAACATGGTCAAGAACTTTGAGCAAAAATACCAACGGACCCACCTAAAATGAGGTGGCCGGACCACCCTCTTCTCCGGCCCCACCGGACAAGAAAAGGACTCTACTATATAATACCAATAATACCAATAATTTTTTAACAATTTAGGGTCCATTAACTGAGAGTCCTGTTATGTAGAATCTATTAAACCTGTTAAATAATTTCTAATTTTGATTTATCAAATTTTGGTAAGACATGATATGGATTTTTGGCGATACGGTAAAGATACTACGAATAAGATAAAATTATCTAATTCTCCCTATGCCGTACTAAAACAGGCAAATCCGAAACTTCTTTTCCCCAAGATGAAGTTAACACTCATATGCCGTACTAAAAAGGGTGTTAAAATTATCCGACAAAAAGATGCAATTGGTCATTATGTAGCCATGTGCCCATGTGCAGATAGTTTAGTCCAGGTAAATACCTCATTATTCCTAATTAATTGTGTCGAGAATCATCACTGTCTCATAAACGCTTTTGTGCAAAACATGTGCACTTTTGCGTGTGATTAGATGAATGAGAGCTCGATTACGCCTCGATTACATAAACAGGTGTTAGATGAGGTTCATAAAACTTAAATGTAGAAGTTATTAATATAAGTGAAATGTGAATAACGTGAAAATGTTTGATTTTTTTAACATATTTAATTTTTTTATCTGTGTCTACAAACATTAATTTTCATGTGAGGACCAGAAACACTTTGATTGCATTTCATATAAATCTTAATGAAATCATCTTCTAAACCCACATCCATAAAATCTCATTTTATTCAAAAATAGAGTATGAATTGAGGAGCACAAGCTCATAAAAAACAAGTGTTATACATAGAGTTGGCTTCCACCAAACCTTCAATTTTATTGGCGTCAGTGGGCATAGTCAGTGGCGGACCCACTAAGGGTCCCAAGGGATCCGGGACCCCGTGCACCTCGGAAAAAACCCTATATATATATTCTATATATATTATTTAAAATTAATTATTCAATGTATATTTACACACAAAACAATATTAAAACAACAAGAATGGAGTAGCAAAACGGGAGCAGGCGCGGATGTAAAGTATCTATTGTTGTTGGAGGTTCTGTGTTCGAATCTTATTAGTTTATCTTTTTTCGGCGTTTTTTTTGTCTTTAACGGAAGGCACGGCCCAACGGCCCCAACCCATATTTTTTTGGTCGTGCGTGTAAAAGAAAGCAGATCCAAATATCCAACTTTATGAAACTTAGGCCCAAAACAAAACAAACCACCCAACCCTCTTTTCCTTTTCACATTCGTTGGAGTGCGGCTGTGCGATTCCCCCAACTGCTAAGACGCGAAGCACGAGCACGACTGCGGATAGCGGACTGCACGAAGAGCCGACGACCACCGGCTGACCGCCGCAGTGCTGACGAGGCGATGAGCCGACGGGCGACGACCACCGGCCAAGCCAGTGAGCCACCAAGGTACTCTTCTCTTCTTTTCTCCATTAATGGCTTTTCTCAAGCTTTTTGTGCGATATTCTTTATGCTCAAAAGTCAAATCTTAGGGTTTTCAATTTCTATGTTTAAATTAAATATACCAAAACTACGTGACTACGTCGTTCTTTTAATTGCTTTTTTTGCATATCTTTTTTTAATGTTAGATTAAATTAATAAATGTATATATTTATAAATGTTATTTTCAATTTTATATGATTTAAGATAAAAAAATATTTTGATATTGTACCCAAATTTAAAGAAACTCAAAGTACGGGAGTAGTTCGGGTGTTAATTCAACTGATCCGCCATTAGTAAATGAAAAATTGGATCAAGTAATTGCTGAAAGTGAAGCTAATTTGGCTTATAATCTATCTGAACAACATGAGTATTTTGAATCTTTCGAAGCTGGTCCTGGATTGAGAAAAAGAATTGCTGATTTTCACCCTAATGTTCAAGACGAGGTACGTCGTAGTTACATTCAAAAAGGACCGTTTCAACCTCGGGACCATGATTTCCCTTTTAAGTTAATTGGAGGCAAAAAAACATAGATTTGTTTCAAGTTGGTTTGATGAGCATAAATGGTTGGAATACAGTATTGCCAAAGATGCATCATTACAAGTATGCTTGTTTACAATAGTGTACGTTAACTTTGTAGAGTTATGCTTCTTTAATATATTTTTATTAGTTTTATATTAATTAGAAATCAGAGATATATAAGGATAGAGACCCCGTGGCTCCGACTTTCTGGGTCCGCCACTGGGCATAGCATAGTGGGTACATCGGACTCATGATACCATATGTGACTCTAACAGTCATGTATGATTCCATAAATTTTTTGAGTAAGATAGTAGTGACACAAAAAATAAGTATTGAATTCGGATCGTGACAACTATGAGACTATGATTAGAAACTACTACCTCCGTTCCCATTTTAACTTCCAAATGGGTTTGGCACAAAGTTTAAGATAGTGGATATTGTGTGGTGGAGAGTTGTGCAGAGGAGAGAGAAATGTGTAAGAAATGTTGTGAACCACAAATTCTTTACCAAAAAGGGAAAGTGGAAGTTTTAATTGGAACAGACGAAAAAGGAAAGTTGGAAGTTTATTTAGAAACGGAGGGAGTACTACGTAGTATATAAGAACACATATAATCTCAACAACTATCAGAGTCATAACCCCACTAAGGATGTTTTTATTTGAACTGAAATTTGCTGATCTGATCTAGTCTGATCTTGTCTCGTAATGTCTGGTATCAATGTATTTTTATAACTATCTAAATTTGATCCAGTGTGATCTAAATTGGTCTGTTCTAGTCTGCCATTGAAAACAATCCAAGTAAAAACATCCTAAGTAGCTCTTAGTGTGATTAAAATCTAGTTCAGGTTCTCCTAATTAACTCTATTTATTTATGTGTGCTGCCATGCTTGGACTCTTGAGATAGGTGTCATCCTTTAATTCTATCCCTACCTCTTTCATTCTCCCGCCCAACCTCCATCGACAGTTATCATCATATGCAATCATATCTTACCTCCCCCAAAGCAACACATCCAGTAAATATGTATATATACATCAGTAGCTGCGGCGTCCTGCAGACTCGCTAGCCGGAGTTTATATGGCTAACTATCCACTCTTCTCCAGCTTCTTATCTGTTCTTGGCCTCCTACTCCTCCACTTTGGCTGTTTTATCTCCTCCACCTCCCACCGCCGCCGACGTGAAGACCAACGCACCAACGCCGGAGCTGTGTCTTTTTCTTGGTTCTTCGTTAAACGCCTCTTCCGCTGCGTCTCCCCTCCTCAGGCGCCTAAGCTTTCCTCCCGGCCGTCTCCCTGTTCCTCTTCTAGATTATTAGCAAAGCCCATCTTCACCCCTTTAGCCTCGCCGGAGAAGCTCATTTCGGGTCGACCCGCTTCCGACACCCCATCGGGTCAACCCAACATCTACCCCTGTAGCCTTTGCGGGGAGATTTTCCTCGTCGCCGGCCATCTCGAGAAGCATCAGTTTGTGAAGCACGCGATCTGGGAGCTCGAGGGCCGTGATTCGGGCCACAATGTCGTTCGGATCATATTCAAGACGGGTTGGCCCGCCATCGCCAAGAACCCGGTTGTACACCGGATCCTGAAGATCCATAATAGCCCGAAGATTCTGGCCCGGTTTGAAGAATACAGAGAGTTCGTAAAATCGAAAGCCGCACGGGACGTAGACCCGAGGAAGCGAGACGCGAGGTGTATCGCCGACGGAAACGAGTTGTTGAGATTCCACTGCTCCACTTTCCTGTGCGACTTAAACCGCGGTGTTTCCGGCGGCGGTGCTTGCAGCTACCAGTACTGTAGCGCGTGCGGGATCATCAGAAGCGGATTCTCAGCCAAGATGGACGGAATCCCGACGCAGTCGTCCGGGTGGAAGGCCCACCGGGCGGTGCCGGAGGAGATAGAGGAGGAGTTCCAGTTTATGCGCGTGAAACGGGCGATGTTGGTATGCCGGGTCATCGCAGGCCGGGTCGGGGGCGACCCGGACGTGGTGGAGAAGGAGGGTCCCTGGTATGATTCCCTGGTGGGTAGAGGGAATGGGGTGTGCCCTAGATTGAACGGCGAAGATGAACTGTGGGTCTACAATCCGAGGGCTGTGCTGCCTTGCTTTGTCATAGTGTACACTGTATAGGACTTTACGCAAATTATGAGTCGAAAATACACTTCGATATTTATCTTCATGCACGGACTAGTTTAGACTTTAGATGTTTTTGTGTGGGCGAAATGTAAATATATACTCCCTCCGTCCCAAAAATAACTTCACACTTCGTTTTCCATACATATTAGGTAAATAAACTTACTGAGGGGTAAATTTTACTCCCTCTGTCTCGAAATAATTGTCTTGCTTTTCTTTTCGGTCTGTCCTGAAATAATTGTCTCATTTCCTTATTTGGTAAACAAATCTATACAAAATAGTGTCAAACAGTGTCGTTACAGTGCCAAACAGTGTCGCTACAGTGTGAAGTCAACTTTGTTTTCTTAATCTGTGTGAAGGTCAAAACAGGATGATTATTTCGAGACGGAGGAAGTAGTTGTTTTGACACTGTTTGGCACAGTTTTGATGTAAATAATTTGCCAAATAAGGAAGTGTGAAGAAGTGTGAAGTTAATTTTGAGACATCCATTTAAGAAAAGAGGGAAGTTATTTTTGGGACGGAGAAAGTATTAACATCTAAAGAAAATAATACATCAATAGTTCTAGATCTCCTAAACTTCATCCCTACCTAGTGTAGGGGGTTAGAAGAGGTTTTTATTTGATCCAATCAAAATTAAAAGGGGGCAAAGTATACAATACCTAGCCGCCCCAAAAGCTCGAAAACCAATAGGTGCTGCAAACAGTGCACGCACACAGATGATAAAGGTTATTAATAAAAAAATCATGGTTAAAACATTTTGAAATTTATAAAGTAGAGATGATCGGAGTAGCATTTTATGACTTTAGATATACTAGAGGTAGACGCGGGCGATCTTGTCCGGTCTAATATTTTATCGAACTCGTACTCGGATCATTACTATTGAAATGGTTCGGTTCGGTTTGATCTTAGACCTAAACTCATTCGGTACGGTTCCATTTTCAAGCGAGACGGTACAATGTCATATCAATACCAAACAATGCCACTTTTTTGACAAATTTAAACTTAGTTATCATCCAAAAATTCACACAATTATCAATTTTCATATTAGATAGTTTATAAATTTCATATAAACTATAAGAGTATAAAACATAAATAACAAAATGTTCAGACCACCACTCTCCAAGCACCATTGGCTTCTCCGGACATCACCAGATGATATCCAAAGCTTCACTTCCCACTCAAACACACATAATCAATGCATTTTTACCCCAACAGAAGCATTGATTTCACTTGCCACTTCATTTAAAATGAGGTCTACAAGTGCTCCTACAAGCAGCTTGCTATGAACTAGCAATTAGCAAAGTGCAAATGAATAATCAAAGTAATGGTAATATGATATACATGTATATATAATTATAAATTATTAATTATCTAAATTAATAAAATTGTAATTCGGTCCGATTCGATCCGGTACGGATTCTCATTTTATGGGAACCGGTCATGACATGGTTTGGAATCGGCACGATCCCATTCGAGACAATTTTTTTTAGAACCGTTTGAAACCCCAATTTTCGGTCCGATACCATAGCGATTCGGTTTGGTACCATGCCTGTTCGGTAAATTTTCCCACTCCTAAGGTAACATTTTGAAGGTCAAATTCGCCATTACAACCTTACAATCTTACATGCTAAACTAAATTTATAAAAGGTAACAACTATGGTACCTTTACAAAATTAGGGGGTACGGTACATGATACAAATGGTCCATTAAATTTGAATTATTCTTTAGGTACACTATGTGTTTTACCGAGAGGTACACCCTATATAATCCCCCATTTTTTATTTCACTTTCTCCCCACTTTTCATCCCTCCCTCCCCACTCTTTTCTCTCTCCCTCCTCCCCTCTTGATTCATATGCACCCCTTCCTCTCTTTCTTTCTTTCTTTTTCTTTCTTCTTCTTCATCATCTTCTTCTTTTCCCTTCTCTCTTTTTCTTTTCTTTTTACGTTTTACGTACTATTAGCTAAGTTTAGAAACGATTCCTTTGAATCATTGTTCATCATCATCATCATCATCATCATCATCATCATCATCATCATCATCATCTTCTTCTTCTTCTTCTTCTTCTTCTTCTTCTTCTTCTTCTTCTTCTTCTTCTTCTTCTTCTTCTTCTTCTTCTTCTTCTTCTTCTTCTTCTTCTTCTTCTTCTTCTTCTTCTTCTTCTTCTTCTTCTTCTTCTTCTTCTTCTTCTTCTTCTTCTTCTTCTTCTTCTTCTTCTTCTTCTTCTTCTTCTTCTTCTTCTTCTTCTTCTTCTTCTTCTTCTTCTTCTTCTTCTTCTTCTTCTTCTTCTTCTTCTTCTTCTTCTTCTTCTTCTTCTTCTTTAGTTCTTTCTTTTTACATTTTATGCACACTGACACCGGTTTGCTCTCAGTGTCTGTGTACATAGATGAAAATTGTATATGTACAGACACTTTTTTTCTACACAGACAACTAGTGTCTGTGTACACCGACACTTGCAAACCAATTTTGTTCACATCGACACTTTTTTGTCTACACAGACAACTAATGTCTATGTACACCGACATTGGTTTCCGTGCAACCAGTCTGGCAGATCTGAAAATTAATTTTGTTCACACCGACATTTTTATTGAAAGTGTCTGTATTTGTACGTTTTTGTCTGTGTGAATGGCAAATAATAGGGTGTAACCCAAGGTGTACACCAAGAATTTTCCATTAAATTTTCACCGTGTGCTTCAAATTTACAACTAGGATGTTTTATTAAAATCTAATTATATTTGTTTGAAGAGAAATTGTCCAAAATAGGAGCAAATGAGATTTGGAATTCCAAAATAGGACTAATATGTTTTTCTTCCCGATATAAGAGTTGTTACTGTCATATACTCCCCTCGTCCTGCAATGAACTTCTCTCTTTCCTTTTTTGGATGTCCCAGAAACAAGTTCTCATTTCCTTAAATGACAAGTTAATCTAAATAAAACAATGTCAAACAATGCAAAACAGTGCCAAACAATGTCGAAACAGTGCAAAACAGTGCCAAAAAGTGTCGAAACAGTGTCAAAACAGTAAAATTGACCTTTTGAGAACCTTATCGATATAGCTCTTTTGTGAGAGTCCAAGAATGCCTTTGGAGCGATCTCGGTGTATTTGTATTCCTAATACAAAAGAAGCCTCACCAAGATCTTTCATTTCAAAGTTCTTTGAAAGAAATCTCTTAGTTTCGTGCAATAAGCCTATATCGTTACTAGCAAGCAGTATGTCATCAACATACAAGACCAGGAAAATATGCTTACTCCCACTGAACTTGTGATATATACAATCATCACTGACGTTTGGTTGAAAACCAAAAGATATAATGACTTTATGAAACTTGTGATACCACTGACGAGAAGTCTGTTTGAGTCCATAGATGGATTTCTTTAATTTGCAAACCATTTTCTTTGAATCTCCCGAAACAAAGTTTTCTGGTTGCTCCATATAGATTGATTCCTCAATGTCACCATTGAGAAATGCAGTTTTTACATCCATCTGATGAAGCTCAAGATCAAAATGTGCCACTAATGCCATTATTGTTCTAAAAGAGTCTTTCGAGGATACCGGAGAGAAAGTCTCTTTATAGTCAATTCCTTTCTTTTGAGTGTAGCCTTTAGCAACAAGACGAGCTTTAAACCTTGTAACATTTCCCTTTGAATCCCTCTTGATTTTAAATATCCATTTACAACCAATGGGTTTAATACCTTCAGGCAATGAGACTAACTCCCAAACGTCATTGTCATTCATAGACTTCATCTCATCTTTCATGACATTAATCCATTCTTGAGAGTTGGAACTTTCCATGGCTTGACGGAAGTTGATTGGATCATCTTCCGCAAAACCAACATCCGATTCTTGTTCTTGGAGGAAGACAATTATTTCTTCCACCAATTCCCAATTTTCCTCATGTTCTTGGAGAAATACAATATAATCATCCGAAATTGCGCTTCTCCTCTCTAGAGTGGATCTCCTTAATGGCACCTCAGGTTCTTGAGGTTGTTGAGTTTGATCCTCATTAACAAATTCAGGTACTTGATTGGGGATGTTTTCGAGATTGTCATGAACTGGAGTTGTTTCTTGAACATCATTAGGAATAAACACATCTTGATCATGTTCAATGACAACTGAAGGAAGAGTAACATGTTCTTCCTCAAAGACAAAATGTCTAACCTTATCTCCCCACCCCCAAACTCAATATCCTCAAAGAACCGGGCATTACCCGTCTCAAAAATAGTCCTGGTAGTGGGATCATAAAATTTATACCCCCTTGACCTCTCAGAGTATCCTACAAAATAGCTACCAATTGTTCTTGAGTCTAGTTTCTTTTCATTTGGCCTATAAGGCATTGCCTCAGCTGGACAACCCCAAACATGGAAATGATTTATACTGGGTTTCTTTCCAGTCCAAATTTCATAAGGGGTTTTAGTTGTAGCTTTAGTGGGAACTCTGTTGAGTATGTAAGCTGCAGTTTTCAGTGCCTCTCCCAAGAGCGAATCTTGTAAAGTAGTATGACAAATCATACTCCTAACCATGTCTTTCAATGTACGGTTTCGTCTCTCAGCAACACCATTCATGCTAGAAGTTCCTGGCATGGTGTACTGAGGAACAATTCCACACTCCTCTAGGTATTTAGCAAATGGCACTGGACGTTGTTCACCGGAACCATCATATCTACCATAGTATTCACCACCACGGTCAGATCTAACGGTTTTTATTCTTTTGCCTAATTGATTTTCAACTTCGGCCTTATAAGATTTGAACACGTCTATTGATTAGGACTTTTCATGAATGAGATAAAGGTAACCATAACGAGAGTAATCATCTATGAATGTGATAAAATATGTTTGGCCATTTCTACATGGTGTAGGGAATGGTCCACAAATGTCCGTATATATCAATTCTAATAGATCTGAAGCTCTCTCGGCACCTAATCTCCGTTTGTTCCTATGTTTTCCCTTAACGCACTCAACACAAATATCAGAATTTGAGGAGTCAAGAGAATCAAGAATTCCATCTAACACAAGTCTCTCAATTCTTTCTTTAGAAATATGCCCTAAACGCTTGTGCCATAGTGAAAATGATTTCTCATTGGTTAATTTTCTTTTAGTACCACGAGTACTTGCATGCAAAGTTTCATTATATGAGGTATTTATATCAAGTGAATATAGATTATCATAAACTGATAAAAGACCAGTACCAATAAGTTTTGAA